GCTCTGGCCCAGCATACTTATTGCAGAGGGGACTGCCCATGATCCACTGACTTGGTTTACATTTGCTTCACACTTACTAAGCAACACGACACAGTCCCCTCTACTCTCAAGAAGGCGAGGGCACGTGACAGGACATTGTCCTGCAAGCTTTCTGAATCTGTCCAGAGTTCAGAGAGCAAGTTCCAGCAGGGAGGATACTGCGTTGTCCCCATCTGTCTGGACCCTATGTTTGTAGGTGAGTCTGAAGCCAAGGGATTCTGCAAGGCGGCCCCATGGAGCATGGAGCAGGAACAGCCAGGGCTGTGAGGGGAGGGAACACTGGGGTCTACTAGCAGGCTGCAGAGGAGCAATCCCCGGCAAAGACCTCTGCAGTGCATAGGCCACATGTAGAGAGCCCAGCAGGTTCAGGAGCTACAGGTCATTCTTTTTGGTAGCAGCATAAATAGTAAGGTGCAAAATAGGGATATGAAGATCAGAGAGGCTCAGCAGCCCATTCAAGAGGCACACAGCAATTTTCTGGTCTAGCTGGGATTAGAACCCAGGCTCCTGGCTGGGATCACAAGGCTCAGGGGATAGACATGGTGGGGGCAGGAGGATTCCTGTGCAATCAGGGAGGGCTAATGTGGTCGGAGGAAGGGAGGGCATAGGGTGTGGCTGGTTCATCTGTGCTCCTGCTTGGTGCAGGGCCCTCTTCTGTCCTTGCCAGTCCACTCCAGGAATGTTTAGAGAGTCCCATAATACCAGGCATGGTCAGTCTATCCAGCCTGCTATTCTCTGCACTGATTGCATCTGACCTCATGGCCCAATTCCCAATCCAGCCTGGCTGGTGCAGCTGGTGACCCACTGACCACTGCCTAGGTTCAAAGCAGACCCAGATATTCAAGCTGCCCAAGCCAGAGGTCCAGTCAGTAGCTGTTCAGAGGAACGCTGTGCATTCAGCAGGAAAGAGCACTGTGCTAGGAGGCTGTCCCAAGCTCTGGGTCTATGTCTCATTAATATGCATTGAACTAGGCCAGTACCAGAGACTCCTGCCTGTAATCCTTGCTATTCAGGAGGCAGAGATCAGGAGGATCATGGTTTGAAGCCCACCCTGGCATAAATAGAGCCCAGCACCGCAAAAACACAGAAAACAAAACAAAAAAACTTATGGAACTTGGTCAGCCACAAACCATGTCTTTGTCTGCAAAATAAGAAGGTTGGGTCCCCAGAGGCTGTGGTACTCACACTTGGGCATGCCATAGGAAGGCTGGACCTCAGGCTCAGGAAGTGGGTAGGGCTGTGATTTTGAATCTCTAAGGAGTCCTGGAGCTGTGAGCTTAAATAGTGTGGTTCACAGGCCCCAACCCAAGAGCAATTAAAATCAGCATCTCTGAGCTCTGAGCCAAGAGCCTGGGCTTTGTTTCATTTTAAAACTCCCCGAGGTGACTGTAACGTTTTACCAGGGTAAGGAACCAATGTTCTAGAAAAGCAGCCGGGAGGTGACAGTATATTGCCTTATTTCCCTTAGGAGACATTTATCTTGGCTCTCAGCTCAGCCTCTCATTAGCTGCCTGGCCTTAACAGCCTTCCCGAGCCTCAGTTTCCCCTTCTGTATGGGGATCTGTTTTGAGAGGACCAAATGAAACTGCCTCACTGTGTCTCCCCCCCTCCCCTTTGTCTCTAAGGAGAGCTGCGTGTTTCTTCTGCTCCAAGGCTGTTCAGCTGAGCACAATTCAATAAGTATTTATTAAAAACTTACAGTGTGCAAGAGCCTGCCCTTCATGATGTGGAAAGACAAAGATGAATCAGGCTCAGTCCCCACTTCAAGGAGCTCACACGTGAACGGGGGTGATGAGGCATGTGTCCGAAACGTGAGGCAAGATGTGACACAGGCTGTAGCGTAAGTGATCATGATGCAGACTACCTCTTTATCATTTTTTTAAATCTCCCAACAATCCCAGGAGGTAGCTACTCTCGCAACACCCTACTTTACAGGCAAAGAAATGAGGCTTGAAGAGCCAGGCTTTGGTGTCACGGGAGCCCCGAGGCTGATGAGGTTTACCCTGTTAGAAAGGTTAGGAGAAAGCTTTGTTGGGGAGAAATGTGACCACTACACTATGAAGGATGTGTAGGAGTTCACTGGATAGAGAGAGAGAAAATGGTGTCGCTGACAGAGGGACTAGCATACAGAAAACCTGGAGGAGGGGAAGTCTAACTTCTTGAAGCGGTCTGACTTGGCCAGAATGTAGGTTGGCGGCATTCAGATCCTGGCTGGAGGACTTGTGTGTCAGGCTAAGGAATTTAGATTTTGTATCTTAAACAGTGGGGAGCCCTTGAACGTTCTTGAGCAGGAGTGTCATTTTTTAGAAAAGGTTTAAGCGGTCATAGTTTATGATATAAAAGGGCTGGGGGGAGCTCAGCGAGGAAAGAGGCAGCTACAGCGAAGGGTCCACGTAGAGGCAGTGAGGGACAGGGGAGGCCCAGAGAATGGCTTACGTGGGATGTGCGCCATACCACGTGAAGTGTCCTTGGACCTGGATCTCTCCTGCAGCGCCCTCATGATAGGGTTGTGGTCGGTGGGGTGTGACCCGCTCAGGGTGGCGGGCTCTGCCAAAGCAAGCAAAGAGTGGCAGGTTCGTGAGCCAGCTCAGACCTGCCTGCCTGCCACATTCTTAAGCGGGGGGTTTGGGGATCTGACCCAGTGGCCTGAGTCCTCCTGACCCCAGCCTTCTAGGTGAAGCGTGTCACTCTGCCTGCCTCCCATTGCCGAGTTCACAGCCAGCTTGAGGCTCACAGCCTCTGTGCGTCAAGCTGGGCAAGAGCCCTTCGGGCTGAAGCCAGTTGCTAGAAGTAGATTCTGGATTGTGGAAAAAGCACTGGGCTGAAATCCTGCCACTTGCCAGCTGGTGACCTTGGGCACATTCCTTAGCCCCTCCGGGGCATTCAATAGTCAAATAGCACAAGTTCTGGGCCTTCCATGCCCTGGTCTTCCACCTCCACCTGACCAGTCTTCCCTGGAGAATCTCAAGGTGGCCTAAGGACAAGCAGAGCAAGGTCATTTTAGTGGTTTTGTCACTAGGCGGATCTAGCAATATCACACCCACTTTATAGATGACAACCAAAGTCCTGAGACTTCCCATAACTGGCTTATGGTTGACTATTTGGGTGGTTACAGAGGCAGGACTCTAGCGCCAATCTCTCATTCAATGGAACTGGACCCTCGGCTTGGCCCCCAGAGGTTTACTGCCTGTCATGAGGTGGGTAAGAAGAGCAGACATTCCCCAGGCCCAGGGTTGCATCCCTTCACTGTTCCAAACAGTCAAGTCTCCTGAAGGAGAAAGTATGCTGGGTGCTAATGAGCCTTTAGTGCCTCTCCAAACCTTGCCCATCTTCCCCTGCACCGAGGGTACATGGCAAGCCTTGGCAGGCGTTTCCAGTTAGTTTAATAACCTTGCTTTGTTTTCATGTGCTTATTTCTTCCTCTCCCTTCTATTTAAGGCCAGCAATGCCGGCTTCCCATGTAAGACAGTGATATCAATGAGTCTCTGAAAAATGGGCTGGGCGGAGTGGGTCTTGGATTTAAATAAAATATTAGGTAACAAGTGGCAGGTAGATATGGCACAGAAGGAACTTCTAATGTTTGTCCTGGTTCAGACCCCTCCCATAAGAAAAGGGAGGGCTGGGGATGTAGCTCAGTGGGAGAAGGTTAGCCTGCTCAAGATCTGGGTTCGATCCTCTCTATAGGGAGAAGGGCACTGTCCAAGGACACACTGGGTGGCCTCAGACCCGCTGGCTGTATACACCTGCATTCAGGAGCACTAGGCCAAAGTGACTCCCGGGCCCCTCCTGGCTGCACGTGTGCGGCCCATGTGCCAGTCCACGGGGTCCCGCGGACACTGTGATCTCGGGAATTACCTACAGCTCAGGATGGACAGGTTGGGAATCTGGGAGGGTATTTGGAAGTTTCCGCAGAAAGAGAGCTCAGAAGCCAGCCCCACCCGGCGCAGGCGGCTGGGGACCCCCCGCGGGTCACCTGCGGCCAGGGCGGGTGTGCGGGCAAGTGCATGCGCAGACATCAGCCTCCGCGCTCGTGCCGTACCGCCTTCCGGTCACGGTGTGCGCGCCCGAAGCCTCGGGTTGGTCCCGGGCGGCCCCAGCTCCACGCGTCCGGGCACGCGGAACAGCACACTGTGCCTCCCCGCCGGGTGCGGGAAGGGCGGGCGAAGGGGCGGGGCCGGGCCGCGGGACGCGCCGCCCATTGGTCGCGCGCGGCGGGGGCGGAGCAGGCGCTGGCGGGGCGCGGGCGGCAGAGGACAGGCGCGGGCGCCGAGGAGGGACTAGGTGCCCGCGGGCGGCCGGGGCAGGTGGACGCCGGCTGACCGGCCACCGAGAGACGCTCGCTGGAGAGGGGAGGGCTCTGGGACCGCCATTGGTAGGCTGGGCTCCGACCACTTTGGGGAGGGACCCGCAACCTCGCTCTGCAGGGAAAATTCAGGCGTTCGCCTGCGGGAGAGGAAAAGAGGAGGAGCTGGGCCCGCAGAAAGTTCTCCTCCCCGAGGGGGAAAAGGAGGTGAAGTGGGAGGTGGCGCCGGCTTCGGGTGAACTTGGAGCTGCGGAGCCTTGGGGCGGCGTTCAAGGCCCCCTCCCACACGCGCGCGGAGCTGAGCGCCCTGCGCCTTTCCTGGCTGGCGGCATCTGGCGAGGAGAAAGGAGCTGTCCCTGCCGCGCGGGCCCCAGCTGCGGAGCTGCAGACAGCAGAGGAGGCCGTGACCGAGCCAGCTGCCCCCTACCTCCACTTGGGCGACCCCGTTTGGGGCAGGAGGAGAAGGTGGCTTAGGAGATCAGAGAGGGTTGGCCGGCCTGGGACACGCACCCACAATCACCTTCAAAGGACCCCCTGAGCCTCCAGGGTTCACTCCTTAGTCTCCGGATTGCCCCCGCCGCACTCCCCCTAGCACCGTAGCCCCAAGTGGGGACCCCCCCCCCCCCCGCATCAAACGTCCCCAAGCCTCCGGGCACCTGGCTCAACCGGAGGCCCCCGGGTCGGGGCAGGGCAGGGCCGGCGGCGGCGAGCCGGAGCCCGCCCAGCGCCCGGGCCCCGCCGAGCCCTCGGAGCCCACCCATGGGGCCCCAGCTTCGCGCTCCCCCTCGCCCGACCGCGCCCAGCCAGGCGCTCCGAGCCGCGCAGAGGAGGAGGATCCGTGCGCAGTGACCCGGGAGCCGCAGACGCTGCGAGGCTCGGTGGCCGGAGCGGCAGGCGGTTCCCCGCACCTCCCGGCGCTTCCAGGCAGCCCTCCGAGCCGTGCCAGAGGCCCGGCCCGCCGTTCCCAGGTAGGAGAGCAGCCCCGACAGAACGGGGGAGCTGGGTGAAGTGGGGCAGCTGGAAAGAAAGCGTAGGGGCTCGTTTGAGGGAGGAAAGCTCAGTGACGCTCTTCATGGCCAGGGAAACTTAAGTTGATTTCTCTCCTGTTGTGTGCCGGGATTGCCAGCAGCTTCATCTATGCAGAGAGACTAAAAGTCGAGGAGTACCTAGTCTGTGTCAGGCAGGATGCTAGACTCCTTATTTATCCCAGGAAAGAGAGATTTATTGAGTTTCTACTCTGTGCTGGGTTTGATTCTGGGAGCTTTAGGCTTAAGAGATGGAGTCACAGCCCGTTTAAAAAAGGAAACTGAGGCTCAGAGAGGAAGAGGTACTCACCTTCCCCAAACATATTCCCACAATGCTGAAATGGGCCTGGCATCTTCCCATCCCTGGCGGGTGTCTCCCTTCAACAAGGAAGAGTAAGGACCTTTCTGAGAGTCCTTAGAGCTTTTTTTTGGACTACTTTCTTCCCAGGGAAGAGCTTCCTGTACCTAGCTGACCAGACCCCACCCCCACTGCAGCTCTGGAAGCCTCTCTGTGCCTTTCCTCCCTTTGCCTCCAGCCCTGGGAGGATGACAGAGGACCTTCTGGGGGCCAGCAGGAGCCCCTGACAGCTCCTGAAGCCCAGGCTTCCCCTGGCATCCGAGGAACAAGTGGGGTTCATACAAGACCTCTGCCTATCCTCCAGTCCTATCCTGCTTGGAGCAGTCAGACAGCCCTTGAAGGCTCAGAGAGAGTGCTTGCAGAGAAAGGAACCTGGTACTTGCTAAGGCTTCTGTGAGTCGGGCAGCCTGGGGACTTCTGTTGTATCCGAAGCTGTACTAGGCTGTTACTACTGCGCTGTTCAACAGAGGAGTAAACTGAGCCCCTTCAGGCTAGCTTACTTGCCCAGGGCCACTGGGCCAGCAGGAAGCAGAGCTGGTCTCCTGGAATCAAAGCCTTCCTGCTTCTACTGCCCAGAGCTGCCCAGGGTGGTGAGGGTGGCTTTATAAAGTCCCCAGGACTCCTTGCAGTGCAGGGGTGGAAGCCAGGGAGTGCACGGTGTGTGCAAAGAGGCTGGGTGAGCACCAACAGAGGGACTGGGGGCGGTGCCGGGCAGTGACCACGCTCTGGGGTACACACCAAGGGATACATCCTTGCCCATCTGACCCACCAGCTTCTAGCAGGCCCTGGGGGACAGACACAGGGAAGAAGGCGAATGGGCCACAGATGCACTGGCTGAAAGCTGGCTGGCAGGGTCTGTGAAAGCCCTGGGCAAGGTGCCCACCCCCAGCTGCCTGTAGGAAGAGCGGGAATGAGGATGCAATGTGCCTCGGGTCATTCCCTGCCCGGTGCCAGCTGAGGCCTCACTGAGTCACACACCATTTGGAAAAGACTCCAGTTTTGTCTGAGGGTGGCTTTTCATAGAGGTAAGAGCCCAAGCTTCAGAGCCAAACAGCCTGGTTCTAATCCCTTTCCAGCTAGGCATCAGCTGTGTGAACTAGGGTGAGTGACTCAACCTTTCTGAGCACCAGGGTCCCCATCAGTCAGGGGGATCCGTGGCAGGGCCTCCTCCTGGACTGCTGTGCAGTCACAGGAATAAGGCACTCACTGTCCCTGTGTGATAGGTGCCTGTGGGTGCTGGGTACTGCTTCCCTGCAGTAGTCTATCTTTTGGGGATTTTATCCCTCCCAGCTACCCTGAGAATGATCCTGGGTTGGGGACAGCAGTCACAGTGTTTGCATTCAGGTCCCTCGTTCAACCTCCCATCCCTCTGGGCTCCCCAGATTCTGTCCCTGTTTGTCCCTCACCGTGTGGTCAGCCCAGCTGCAGAGACAGGTGAGCAGACAGCTGAGAGAAGACACTGTGCCCCGGGGCTTCCCTCAGCGCCTCCTGTACAGGAGGAGAAGGCAAGAAGGGGGTGGGGTCACGGAGGCGCTGTCACCTGGTGTCCAGGTGTCTAGGTGCCTCACACAGCCCCACGTGGCTGGGACCTTGTGAAGACTCAGTTTTAGACAAGAAAGCTGTGGATTTTTTTCCACCCTCTTTGCCCTTCCCTGACTCTGTGTCTTATTTTTAATTCCTGCCTCCTCTCTGTGACTCCCTGCCTCCCCGCCTCTTCTTTCTGACCCTCTGCCTCCTTTCTCTGATTGCCTGCCTCCTCTCTGATTCTCTGCCTCCTGTCTCTGGCTCTGCCTCTTTTCTCCAACTCCCTGCCTCCTCTCTGACTTGTTTCTTTTTCTGACTCCCTGCCTCTTTTTTCTGATTCCCTGCCTCCTCTGATTTCCTGCCTCTTCTCTCTGGTTCTGCCTCTTTTCTCCAACTCCCTGCCTCCTCTATCTGACTTACTTCTTTCTTGGATTCCCTGCCTTCTCTCTCTGATTTCCTGTCTACTCTCTCTGGTTCCCTGCCTCCGTTCTTGACCCCCTGCCTCCTCTCTGACTCCTTCAAGTCCACTCAATCACTAATAATACTCATCTGTACCAGGAGGTCTGGTCTAGAGGCTGGGCATGGCAGCGATGGAGATAGACAACCTCCCTACAGGGTGCTGGCTTCCTCTCTGGCCTGTCTAGACAAAGGTGACCAGTCACACTCCCTTCAGAAAGATTGGGAAGGGAGCTGTCACAGGATGGGGTATCTTTTTCCCATTTTCTCCGAAGGTGCTGAACCAGCCCTGTGGGAACCAAGGGGGTTCTCAGCCCCCTCTACCCACTGTCCCCCGAACCCTGCCAGAGCCCCAAGGTTGCTGTTGGTGGGGTCTTCTCAGCATAGCTTGGGGCCAGCTCGATGGGTTGGGGTGAGAGGAGAAGGTTCTGGAGGGAGGCTTTGGGGGAGCCCAAAAGCAGAGCCATTTGCCATTTCAAACACCTGCACACATGTGGCATTGCAGTCTCCTGGAGTATATTCAGAGATGGGTTTAGACATGAATTAAAAGTGGGTGTGGAGGCTTCAGGCATGGATTTCCCACCCAGGCTCCCGTGTTTGTGAAACAGGAAAAAAAATACCATATACCTGAGGGAGAGGTGGACTCAGTAGCTCAGGGCGGACTGCCTGAAGTCAGAGCCCTTTCTTGCTGGTTATTGGCTGAGTGACTGTGAGCAGGTCACTCAATGTGTCTGTGCCTCACTGTTCTCGCCACCTACCTTCTAGGGTTACTTTGGGGATGAGGCGGGTTAATGTATGTATACCACCTAGAACACTCTGATACATTAACTGCAAATCAAATGTCAGCCAGCGTTATTGCTCTGTACTTAGCACAGCACCTGGCATGTGCCTGGGCTTGGCCCAGCGTCTGTGCTGTGCTGAACTGGCCCATTGTGTGCACCTTTTTGCAGTTCATTCATTGAGGTCATATTGCTAGCTGGGAGTTGGCCGTGCTGAGACTAGTTACTCCATGGAAATTGACAAACACTAGAGAGGGTTTTCATGAAAGGTATTTCTGAGCGTGTTCATGGCACAGGGACTCTGGGTCAGGCGGAGTTTTTCATGAGTTGATGTGGATGCGTGCCAGCTGACTCGTACCCAGTGGCATCTCAAACTCTTAGCTCATGATAGACTGAAAACTGTGATGTTGGAGAAAGCCTGGGGGATGTGGACAAGGAACTTGGAGGCTGCTGCTCTGGGGCATCCAGGCGTGGGGATTTTTGTGTGAATGGAGGAATGGCCTTCTATGAGGGGATGAGCTACACAGACGCCCCTTCCTCTGGGATGCAGCCCTCTTGCACACCCAGCTAGGCACTTCGTGCAGTGCCCAACCTGCCCAACCCGTGGTGGCCTTTTAAGGACATCTGTATTTCAGCAAGTCTGTGCCATATGCAGTTGTGGAGTTGGCAAGCTCCCCTATAGAGACGGGAGGGCCTCCTGCTAGAGAGGGGAATTGGGGAAACCTTCAGAGAGGAGGTGACATTTGGGCCAGGCCCTGCAACAAGAGGAGAGGGTGGTTCTGGGGAGGGGCTGGAATGAGGAAAGGAATGGAGGTAGATCTCAGCAGAGCTAGACTGACTGACTGCTGTGAGGGATCCTAGGGGATTCTGGGTACTGAGAACAGAGGGAAGAGGGCTGGGCTGGGAATGGGGTTCGGGTTGCATGATAGAGTTGGGGAGGTTTGCTTAGCTGCACTTGGGGTCTTGAGCTTGAGGCTACCATAGGAAGTTATGGGGGGTTTTCCCCAGAATTGTTTGACCTCAGAGTTGTGAGGAAGCCTGAAGTGGCCGTTGCTCCCTATCCTCCAGCCTGGTCTTCCAGAGGTAAGCGTGCTTCCAGGGCTTGAGAGGTGAAAGTCTCTGGGCAGCACACAGACAGGTGTTGGTGGGCCCCGGGCAGGAGGGAGGCCCTTCCCCCCTCTCCCCGCCCAGGTGCAAAGCTCAGGTCCAGGGGGGAGTCACCTGAGGAGCAATCTTAGGCTCTAGATTTTTAAACCGCCCTAGGTTTAAAAAGTGCATGCGTGCGCCTCTCCTGGGGTATGTCCGGACTCAGGCTGGAGGAAAGCAGAAAGGATGGGTGAGCAGGGAAGGGTGCCTTCTGACGGGGTCAGCGCTTGGGGGTCTCAGCTGCGCTGAGCTCTTACAATAGCCCTGGGCGAAGTGGTTGCTGCACAGGTGAAGCTACCTGCAGAGGTGAAGCTGCCCGCCCCAGGTCAGCAGCCAGCGGCAAGCAAGGATGCCAGGCCCACCAGTCCTGTGCTCAGATGAGTCTGGTAGAAGAACAGAAAGGTGAATGAAGGAGTAAAGCTAGCGAGGGCTTGGAGGAATGAATGAATGAATGAATGAGTGGCTCGAACCCAAGGTCTGTAGAGAACTTTGGCCAACATTCCCATCTTACAGACAGAAACCTAAGGCCTTGCACGGAGGCTGCAGAGAAGAGGCCCAGGCCTGTGGCAAGGCACAGGGGGTAGGGCCAGGCGAAGGCTTCCTGACGCCTCCCCCTCATTTCTGTCACAGCCCCGAGCCATGATGAAGACCTTGTCCAGTGGGAACTGCACTCTCAGCGTGCCCGCCAAGAATTCATATCGCATGGTGGTGCTGGGTGCCTCCAGAGTGGGCAAGAGCTCCATCGTCTCTCGCTTCCTCAATGGCCGCTTTGAGGACCAGTACACGCCCACCATCGAGGACTTCCACCGCAAGGTGTACAACATCCGCGGGGACATGTACCAGCTGGACATCCTGGACACCTCTGGCAACCACCCCTTCCCTGCCATGCGCAGGCTGTCCATCCTTACAGGTGAGGGGCTGATGGCTGGGTGTGGGACACTTTGCAGTGCACTTGCATCCTGCCATCTGAGAGGCCCTGCACAGGGAGGCCCAGGGACTCAATATTGCCTAGCAAGTTCAGGCTACAGGTCCTGGTTCCAGTCCATGTGACATGGGACAGGTTACGGCTGCAGGGCAGCTTCCAGATCAGACGCTGGGGATGCTGCTTTCCAGAGGCCAGTAAAGTAGCAGACCCAGCGACTAGCAGCTCATGTGTCCTGAAGCCCTGGATTTTGCCACTTAGAGAGGTCAGGGCAGGTCCCCAGCCACCAAGCAGAGGGGAGAGGCTTAGGGCCCCTGGGGCAAGTGTTTCTGTCTTTGTGAGTCTGCTTCTCTTCTGTAAATTGCCATCACACTCCCACACCCCTCAGAGGTACTGCGGGAAGTACAGAGAATATGTTGAAGGGCTGCTTGAGCAGAGAATAAGTGTTCAATAAACACTGGTCTTATGCTGAGCCTGCATTTCTACTGTGCCTGCTACCCTCCTTCTGTGAGGGGCAGAGATGAGGGAGGGAGGGAGGGAGCAAGTAACCCTCCAGCCATCATTCAGATGACCCCTCAATTGAGAAACTTCTACACCAAGAAACCCACGCCATGCCTGGCCCTCTTTCCATACTCTGGCCAAGTTGGAGGCTGATGGGTGGGCCCCTTCTCTAGGTCATCCTCACTGACCCTCTGGCCCAGCTTGCTCTTGGGCCACACCCCATATCTTAGAGAAGGAGCATGTAGATAGAGGAACCCTGGGTTCAAATCTTGGCCTGGCCACTTGGTAGCTTAGCTGTGTGACCAATTGGGGTCTTCAGCCTCCTCAGATACACAGCAGGCATGACCTTGCACCCCCTGTGTGTCTGTGAGGACACTGGGTGTTGCATGGGGTCAGCTCTCCCAGCCTTGGGGAGGAGACTGGACACCCACAGATATAGATGTAATAGGGGCAGATGTGGAGTGGGGCCACGTGCATACTTTCAAAGTTCATTTTCAGTTATATAAATAATGCACAGCCTCACCCTCCATTAGACACAGATTAGACCTAGGCCTGTGTCCCCCGTCCAGGTTCCTGTCCCTTAGAGGGGGCCACCTGGTCAGTCTGGCGTGGACTCTTCTGGGCCTTCTACAGACACATTGACATTCACATCTGTATCCCTGTGCTAGCCAGTGCTTTTGTCTGTTTTCCATGCACAGCATTCTGAGCACATCTGTCTGCTGCTTGCTTTGTTGGCTCACCAGTACGGTGCTGGGGCGCAGGAAATTCTGAGAGCCATTAATTCCACCACCAGCCCTCCTTCCAGCGGCTGGCCAGCTGGGGCAGGCCTCCTGCCTGGCATCTGCAGTCTCACATTTGAATATGTCGATGCTGCTGAGTCCTCAGAGGCCCCAGATTAGCCTAGCGGATGGGGTTTGACAGCCAAAGCAGAAGTAGTTGACAGGCTGATGCTGCCTTGCTAGTGCTTTTCAAAACAGCCTCTACCATTGAGCTAGCATCATGGACAGCCACTGGGTGCAGACCCTGGGAGATGGGATTGAGGAGCCCTGTGTTCCAGTGCCCACTGTCCAGACCATGTCCATGGCTGAAGCACTGGTCTGAGTGTAGCAGGCACTGTTACAGGGGCACTAGCCACATGATCTGGGGTCCAGAGGGTGACTGTTCTGTGGGAAGCTGGGGCACCAATTCTCCTGAGGACACTGGCCAGTTGTTGACTCTTCTGAGCCTGGGTTTCCTCATCTAGATCCACATACAGTTTGTTAAGAGTTTAAGTGATGGAGCCAAGCCTGTTGGTATATACCTGTAATCTCAGATACTTGGGAGGCAGAGATAGGAGGCCAGCTCTGGGCAAAAGTGTGAGACCCTATGTGAAAAATAACTAAAGCAAAAAGGGCTGGGGGCATGGCTCAAGTGGTAGAATACCTGCCTAGAAAGCACAAGGCTGTGAGTTTGGAACCCCACAATTGCCAAGAAAAAAAAAAGTTTAAGTGAAAGTAGGGAAGGGGCTTGGAGAATGAGGTTGTGATCACTATAGTAACTGTGACCTGGAAACTGGGGTGAAGCTGCTGGTCCACACCCCTGCTGTCCCTCGTAATTCCACACCAGTTGAAGCCAGGTCAGGAGCGAGGCAGTGAGTTCCAGCAGAGGTAGTGTGGACATTGGAATCACAGAGCAACGCCTGGGTGTCAGACATGGGGAAGGCAAGGATCAGATCATGTGGTCCTGGCCTAGCCACATTTAAGCTCTGTGACCTTGGGCAAGTTGCTTGCCCTTTCTGAGCCTCGCTTTGCTCACCTACGATAGGAAAGTAATAAAATCTTCACCATGGAGTTGTTATGAGGTGTCAGGTGTGGAGCATGAGGCTCAGCTCCTAGCAGGTGCCTGTTCTCATTATCACTGAGGCCTGAGATGACTGAACACACACACCCGTTATCTGTAACAATCCTCAAAATAACCCTGCAAGGTAGTGCTTCATTCTCATGGTGCAGATGGAGAAACCAAGGGCTAGGGAGTTCATGTGACCCACTCAAGGCCATGTGGCTGGGAAGAAGAGGATGCAAGACACAAACCCAGGCCCGCCTGACCTCAACGCAGTCTACCACACTGTGGCCACTGATGTTCACTGAGTTCCTGTTGTGTGTCAGGTGCTTTTGCAGGCCCTGGGGATGTGCACTGAGCAAGAGAGGCAGAGCCCACTCTCACAGATACTGCAGAATTGTTATTCTGACACAGTCTGTGGAAGTTCATGGGCAGGGGTGACTTATTAGCTCCCCAGCCCCGTCAGGAAGTGGGGCGTGAGCTGGCCGTATTTGCCGTGCTGTCCCTTAGCCTCGAACGAGGGATTTTGCCCCTGGGAGGGAGCCCCAGCTGCCTGCTCTGGCAAGTGGGGACAGTACTAGCACCTGCCCCAAAGCACCACAGGGCGAGGGTTCACCTTGTCCATAACTGGCAGCCGGTAGAACCTGTGACCTGGGGTAGGAGCTGCCCCTCAGAGGGAAGCGGGAGCCAGCTTGTCACTCGCTGCCTGGGCTCTCTCCACAGGCGATGTCTTCATCCTGGTGTTCAGCCTGGATAACCGGGAATCCTTCGACGAGGTCAAGCGCCTCCAAAAGCAGATCCTCGAGGTCAAGTCCTGCCTGAAGAACAAGACCAAGGAGGCGGCAGACCTGCCCATGGTCATCTGCGGCAACAAGAATGACCACAGCGAGCTCTGCCGCCAGGTGACCACCACCGAGGCCGAGCTGCTGGTGTCTGGCGACGAGAACTGTGCTTACTTCGAGGTGTCGGCCAAGAAGAACACCAACGTGGACGAGATGTTCTACGTGCTGTTCAGCATGGCCAAGCTGCCGCACGAGATGAGCCCCGCGCTGCACCGCAAGATCTCTGTGCAGTATGGCGACGCCTTCCACCCCCGGCCCTTCTGCATGCGCCGTGTGAAGGACATGGATGCCTATGGCATGGTGTCGCCCTTCGCCCGCCGCCCCAGTGTCAACAGCGACCTCAAGTACATCAAGGCCAAGGTCTTGCGGGAGGGCCAGGCCCGTGAGAGGGACAAATGCGCCATCCAGTGAGCAGCAGGGACTCTGGGGAGCAGCTTGGGCAGTGCCTTAAGGGAGGTGGCTCCAGATGCCTGCTGCCTGCATCCCCCCAGTGGCACCAGCCTGGAGGCCCCGAGAAACTACACTCTCTCATTCTCCTGTCTCCTTGCCTCTTCCCTCTGAGCCCTCTTACCCATGGCTCCCCACAGCCACAGCTCCTCCAAGGGAGGATGGATCTCTGAAGACAGGAGAGATCATTCCTGTCTTCACTTCTCACTGACTTGGTGAGAAGTCAGTGCTGACGACGCAGACCCAAGTTGAGCCTTCCCATCCTTTGGTTGGAAGAAATGTGGATGCCAGAGAGCCCAGGAGTCATGCGTCAAATGGAGGGTCCTGGAATGAGTCACAGGACAAAAACAAAACCCCAGAGCCAGACGCCAGTGGTCCCTGCTCTCTTGGTGTGGGACCAGCTTGATGTTGGGTGGCAGCTGGGGGACCCCTCCCAGGAGTGCATCTCCTGCCCTCTGTCCCAGTTGTGTCTACCCACCCTTCCTGCTTGGTCCCCAGCTGCCCTGACACTGAGCCAGTGGCCTGTGTGCTGGAAGAGGGCGGCTGCATCCCCCAGACCACTCTGTTCTGAGCTTACGCCTTCTCCTCCTTCCCAGGCTCCTCCATGTGACACGAGCTTGTTTTCAGGCTGTTCCCTGTTGTGTTAGCAGTGGACAAAATCGCTGTACGCTAAGAGCCCAGCGACCTGTCTTTCCTCAGGCCTCCCTCCAGTTCAGATCAGCTGCCTCTGCTGTGGACATCCACCTCCCCACCTCCAAGCAGGGGCGCTGGGCTCTGTACTGCACACCACAGTTTACAGATGCCTGGGCTGTGTGGGCAGGCAGGCCAGGGCACCTCCTGCCCCCTTTCCCAGACAGGGTGACTGACACTCAGAGGGGAAGGTGACATGCCCCAGACCCCACCCTGCCTCCTAGCTAGTTCTGGACACAGCTTGGCCAAGAACCAGCTGTCTGTCCTTCACTGTGTTTGTTCTTCAAGCACTTACTGAGCACTTGCTGGGTGCTGGGTCTGCTGTGTGCTATGAAACAAAGAGGGTGAGGTGTGTACCTTGTGTCACCAGCTCTGACGTCTGCCCATACCTGTGCCGTACTGTCTCTGCGGAGAGGAAAGCAGAGCATCTAGGAACCAGAGGCAAGCCCCGGGAGGGGTCAGAGGAGAGCTCATGGTGGGTCTTTCCCTTGTGCTCAGAACTGGGTGTGTTGGGCGCCACACATCCTGGCATGGTGGGTTCTGAACCTGTAAACCAAAGGCCCTTGCCATCAGTTCTTAACCAATACATTTTGTATTCTAATCTTAAAAATATTGAAGTTTAAAGACACAAGAAACCAGTGTCCTCTAGGGACTTCCCAAGGCCACTAGCCACAGGCCACACTGCAACTGCAGAAGCAGGACCAGCTCTGGGCCATCAGTGCACCATGATGAGCCAATCTTCTGATGCTTTCTCAGCCTGGGGCCTTCAGGGATTTGGGGCACCCTCCCCCCCACCCTGACCTCTTCCCTGAAGAGGGCAGTGAGGGTGCCTGTAGACACTGGGCGTGTCATGCCTATGTATATACGTGTACATGTGAACAGATGCTCTCGGCCCCAGCCTAACGCACTGCGCCACACTTGCCTGTGTCTGCACCTCTCCACCTGCTGCCCAGCAGCAGCTCCGCCCATCCTGCTGCTCACCCCCATCCCTGCCTCCCCAGCCTGACCCTCTGAGCAGACCAGACCAGACCAGGAATTTGTTTACCACTGGTATGTGGCCTGGTCCCACTCAGTTGTGCCCCACCGTATGGATCTCTGTGTAGACTCAATTAAAGTGAGTTTGTTACACATTCGTGTGCTTGACTTTGTTTTCAAGGGGAGGTGCCTCCCTCAAGGGCACCTGTGGGCATCCTCGATTGCATGCCGCATGGAGATTTGGGGCAAGGGGACCTTCACTTAGGAGGTGGTGCTGCTTCCAGCCCTGTCCTTTCTGGGCCTTCTGGGGGTGCACCTGGAGGTGTTCACGTCCCTCTGGAGGGGCAGCCAGGTCAGATAGGAGACAGACTGCAAGCTCCTCGAGGCTCCCTGGATCTCAATTCTTAGTTGTTATAGAGAAGTTTTGTGTTCAGGGCACATTTGGCAACATCTGGGAAGATTTTTGGTCATCAAGAATGGTTGAAGGATTGGGCATTGTGGTGCATATCTGTAATCCCAGTACTCAAGAGGTGGAGACAGGAAAATTGAGAGTTCGAGGCCAACCTGGGGTACATACTGAGAACCTATCTCAAACAACAACAAAATTGCTTGGGAATCTGGGCACTGTAGTCCCAGCTACTCCAGAGGCAGAAGCAGGAGAATCGCTTGAGTCTAGGAGTTCAAGACCAGCCTGGGCAACATAAGATCCCTGTTTCTAAATAAATAACATAGGATGGGGGTTGCCACTGACATCTGGTGGGCAGAGGCAGATGCCGCTCAGTGTCCTTTAAGACACAGGATGCCCCACAACAGAACTCTGGTCCACATGCCAATCATGAACAGTCTCCCTGTGACAGTAAACCCTGGAGGGCAGAGCCAGCCCGCAGCTATGTGCAGCTGGTGGTGACAGGCAGCTTTCTGAGCGGTACTCAGTAAACCAGGGAGAAGCAGAGCGAGCCCCCCTGTGAAGTGAGACCAGACTAGTTGGGGATGGCACATGGAGGCAGAGAAGGCCCTGCCCCTGAATGACTCCACATGTGCCTTTTGGTCCTGAGAGCCCATCCTGGGGCAAAGGGAAGAGAAAGGAACAGGCACGTATCCTGCTGTCATCTAGCTCCCCAGGAAAATTCCTCCCTTAGCACTGAGTCCTCCCATGAAGGATTTGGCTCAGAGAGTTCAGGCTCTTGTCCGAGGGGCACAGTCAAACGGCAGATGAGTCAGAACCAGAAGCTGCCTGACTTCCCAGTGGACAAGGACAGGCTTTTGTGTCTGGGAGAAAGATGGGTCTGTATGTTGAGCAGAAGCCACTGAGCACAATGAAGTACCAGGCCTACAGTTGGAGGTCCAGAGAGCAGGTGGAGATCCTGGCCCACAGGAGCTGGTAACTCAGCAGAGAGGTCACAACCCCGGCAGAACACTTGCCAAACAAGGAAGACCAGGCTTCCCTTTGCAGAGGAGGCAAGCTGGGGTTCCTGGATCCAGCTCCCTCCAGCCTTTCACCCTCACCAACCACAGGTCAGTGCAGGTTGTTAGTCCCTTGGCTGCTTCTAGGTCTTGCCTTTTGTAGACAGGAGACCACCACTTCCTCTGCACCACCATCCATGTGGCACCCACCGTAGGCAGGGTTGAAGAAGCAGGTGGGCAAGCCCCCCATCATATGTCCTGCTGGAGGCTGACTGGCTGCCTCTACACACTTCATGTGGGACTGTGAGTAAGTCAGGTTCTCCCTCCTGGCCTCTGTTTCCTCATCTGCAATGAGGCAGCTGGACCTGACCTCTGCAGGAAAGAATTAATATTCTCATTACACAATCCATGACATTCCAAGCATTACTAAAGGGAACATGTTTGCTCCATCCTCAGCCTCCCCTCCTCCCTGCTCCCACAGCTCCCCCCTGGGATGGGGTTAATAGCAATGGGCTGCAGCTGAGGAGAAAGACTTCCCCAACAAATATCTTCCCACTCTGAGATGGAGGGGAGAGTGAGATGGTAGGGGAAGGCCCCTCCCAGGAAGACAGGTCCCCATAGCCTCCCCAACCCTAAGAAGAGCAAATGTCCGGAATCTGATTTCAGAAACTCCTGAGCTGTGAACTCAGAGTATTTGTCTGTTCTGCCTCCCTGAACCTGTCACTTAAGAGAAAAACTTCAGTCCTGTGTCAAAGCTTGGTGGGGGCTGATGGGAGGCCTGCCAGTGGCTCAGCAGCAAAGGCTGCTGGGAATGGGGGAAGGGAAAGGGAGCCGACCTTTGCTGAAGACCTACCATGCACCAAGCACCATGCTGGGCCTTCTTCCTGCATTGAATTCTCATGGCAAAGCTATATGAAAGAATTATGAATTTCTTTTTAATTGAGAGGGAACAGAGGCTTAGAGAGGTAGAGTCACTTGCCCAAAGTTGCACAGTAAATAAGCAGGAGAGCCAGGCTAGAATCCTTGTGTGATTTCAAAGCATGTTCACTCTTTAGGGCTTTGATAACTGAGCCAGCTGAGGGGCTGCTCTCTGGAGGGAGAGGCCAGCAGGTGGGATGGATATAGAGAAGTTGCTCTGGTCCACCTGGTTGTGCAGGACCCAGGTCTCTTCCTTCTCCAGGCTCCTCCTGGTTACCATTTGCATGGTGGGAGTCACAGCCACATTCAGGTTCAGCTGGAATAATAAGGAGGAGAGTACAGAAGACACAACACCTGCTGTTTCAGGGCCACAGACTCATCACCTCCATTTCCTCAAAAGAACCCAGGTGTGTGGCATTCCTACCCGTGAGCAGGCACTTTCTTGCTAGGGTCCCATGGTGCCAAAAAAAGAGGAGCAGCCTGGCTAGCTAGCCACCTCCACCTGGCTGCCCCAATGCAGCAGTGCAGCTCCAGTACCCCATGGACAGTCTGGCCTCAAGCTCCACCCTGTGGTGTCCACAATCAGGTGGCAGCCCGTCTCCTGAACTTCCCTTTGAGCATTGATTCTCCTCCTCCTCCAAAAATGAAAACTTGGGCTGTCCCACGAATTTTCTCATCTTTCTTAGAAAATAGAAAATATTGCAATTACCTCAAGAGGTAAGTAAAATTCTTCCTTCCTTTTCTTTTTTTTTTTTTTTGCGGAACTGTGGTTTGAACTCAGGGCTTACAACTTGAGCCACTCTGCCAGCCCTTTTTTTGTGATGGGTATTTTTGAGATAGGGTCTTGTGAACTATTTCCCCAGGGTTGGAGGGGGGGGGAGGGCTGGCTTTGAACTGCAATCCTCCTGATGTCTGCCTCCTGAGTAGCTAGGATTACAGGCATGAGCCACCGGCGCCCAGTGGGAGGTTCTTTCTTGCCTGGTTCCTATGCACTATAGGTTGATGGTGCTGAGCCCAGAGCATGGCAGGAGTTTAGAGATGGCATTAAAGTCTCAGGGAATTCTGCAGCGCCACCAGAGACCGCCCACATCTCCAGGAATCTCTCCCCTGCAGACGCTGGTCTGTGCAGCTCTGCGCTCTTTGGGTGGGTTTCTTAGCCTTCTGCAGCTTATGGGGACTCCTGATGCCTTAGGCTCTCTCTGCTGAGACCATCTGTCCCTCAGTCTACTCTCTTGGACAGGGCCTAAGGCATCTTCTTAGTCTTCTCTGGCTCTCCCATGTCTGTGACACTTACATCTCAGCTCCAATCAACTCTAAGGGTGTAGGTTGATCTAGGTACAGTTGGGGCTTATAGCAGGTGACCAAG